CTAGCCCTAGTTTCAACACGTCCCTCCCTAATCCTTGATATTTGGGGGCTGGTCTCAGCCTGTACGTTTCTGGATTCACATCTTCCCCCAGGTACCTTGACAAAAGTGACCTTGGAGGGAGACCAGTGCCCCCCACTGACTTCCCGTGCATTCCATTTCAGTATTACTAGGAAGGGGCCCGATGGCGAGTGTCACTGACAACTGGGCTGACACCGCCATCGTCAGCATAGTCTTCCCACAGCTCTGCTCCTTCCTTCTCCCCAGCAATCCTCTCTCCTGTCTTGAGCTCTGGCTGGAAACTTATTAATTTCTGGAGTCAGCTCCCAGTCTCAGTTGTGTGTGGGCAGCCTACAGTCAGCAGCATCTGACATTATAGCCACATCTCTCAACCCCAGTAGAACACTCTTTTCTCTTCCATTTTCTCCAGCTTCCCCATGAAGGCTGGACCCCAGTGTGGGCATAGGGCATTCTTGAACCACAGGTGGAGGACTCCGGCAGTCTTAGCTCGTCCATTGCCTCCCTGAGTGGGGCGGGGCCCCTTCTCAGGCTCTGCAGGGAAAGTGGCCATTGTCCCCACTCAGAATACAAAAATGTCACCTTTCCCTCTCCCTTCTGGGCAGGCGTTCAAATGACTGTGCTCCCAGCTAGGAGATAATAAGTATGCATCATGGGAAAGGTATCGGTAATGAGCACCATTAATTTCAGGAGTGGGCCAGCTGCGGTGGCTCACACCTGTAATCACAGCACTTTGGGAGGCCAAGGTGGGAGGATCACTGGAGGTCAGGAGTTTGAGACCAGCCTGGCCAAAAAGGTGAAACCCCATCTTTACTAAGAATACACAAAAAAATTATCCAGGTGTGGTGGCACATGCCTGTAACCCCAGCTACTTGGGAGGTTGAGGCAAGAGAATCTCTTGAACCCAGAGACAGAGGTTGCAGTGAGCCGGGATGCCTCCATTGCTCTTCAGCCTGGACGACAGAGCGAGACTCCATCTCAAAAACAAAAAACAAACAACAAAAAAAATTTCAGGAGTGGAAGAGGTCACTTCCTGATTGCACATGACTTCCTGGAGGAGATGAGGAAGGTGTAGAACTCTAAAGGACAGGTGGGATTTTCACAGGTGAGAGAAAGAGGAAGAGCAGGAGGGCACTGAAGGTGTAGGAATGGCTCAGGCAATGGCCTGGAGTGGGGCAGAGGCTGAGATCGGGAGTCTGGTGACTGGAGCAGAAGGGGGTGTAAGTAGTAGAGAGGTGGTGGACAGAAGGGGTGGTGGACAGAAGCGGGTAGATCTGGGATCCATCTCCCCAGGAGCCTGGTAATCTTTACTTACAACAGGGATCCATTCTCCATTTATGTCTGTGTCTCCAGAACAGCGATGGAATTTTATGGTGCTTGATCCTTAGAAAAAATAAAAAATGAAAAAGGACTGGAAACCCCCGAAACCTCCAGCTTGGTTTGCAGCGTCTTGGCTGGCTATGGTGCTTGACCACGTGGCTTCAGCCTTTCCACAGAGACTGCTCTGAAAAACAACAACAAAACTTTTTGCAAACGAGTATCTTCATGCTGGGCAAATTGATCAAATGTATTAAGAAATCGAAGTGGAAGACCCCAAAAGTAGCCCTGCTCCCTGTTGGCCCCTCCCCTGAGTTACCACCAATAGTGTCATTGTCAGGCTCTGAGCTCCACCTCATTTGGACTCTTTAGCTTTTCATTTCTTTTTTTTTTCCCAGCTGGCACATTTATTGGCATTAAGCACAAGACTCTTCCCAGCACTAGGAAGCCATGCCCAAAGGGTGTCCCTCTGCCCCATTTCTGCAAAAATTCTCAGGCCTTAGCAGTAGCCTGAGCTGCCCCCAGGGCTGTGAGCTGCTGAATCTTCTGACTCATCATTTCCATGACAGCCTGTTTCATGGCGTGCTTCTTCTGAAGAGCTGGTTGGATTTTCTCCATCTGCTTGGTTAGAAAAATCTATCTTCCTCTTGAAGAAGTCCTTGGTATCCTGAGCTGTCTTCTCTACATAGTACCCAGTTCCCACATGGATGAGCACATGTTCCACATCATGCAGCTTCCCAGGGACACACATATAACTCGTCAGTGGGACATGTAATTCTTTCCCCTCATTGCTCTTGTTCAGCATGTTCAGACAGTCCTTGGCTTCCACATACTTAGTCTGTACCACTTTGAGCTGGGCAATGGACGTGGAGAAGAACTCCACTTCCTGGTCCAGCTGGTTCTTGAGCATTTCTAGTTGCGGCAGATGCAGCTCCGTGATGTTAATAGACTGCGCCATGTTGGGAAGGAGGACTAACGAAGAGATGCTTTTCATTTCTTTGCTCACTTCCTCAACTTGACCACACACCCTGAGGCCAGGGCTATATAATGTGTCCCCTGGATTTTGGTGCAGCCAGCTGCACAACCGATGCTCAGGCTGTGTCCCTTGGTGGGTGTCCACAGTGCCTCCTATTTAGGGTCCCTTCAGTGACTCTCAATAAGGATGAGGTCCCCCAGGAGACATGAGAGGCACAGCCCCTCACAAAGCTCTCCCAGCAGGCCTGGCCTCGGTGAGTTCACTGGCTACCTTTGCAATCCTGTCCCTTGGGCCTGCTGGGAAGAGGAAGAGCTGCAGTTTCTCTCTGCAAAGCATCTTCCCTTAGGGATGGGCAGACCTATTTAGATCTATTTTTCTTTTTATCTTTTTTTTTTTTTTTTTTTGTAGAGATGGGTCTCGCTATATTGTCCAGGGTGGTCTTGAACTCCTAGCCTCAAGAGATCCTCCTGCCTTGACCTCCCAAAGTGTTGGGATTACAGGTGTGAGCTACTGTGCCTGGTCTGAACTAATTTTGTTTTATTTTATAATTTTTTTTGAGACGGAGTCTCACTCTGTCACCCAGGCCAGAGTGCAGTGGCGTGATCTTGGCTTACTACAACCCTCACTTCCTGGGTTCAAGCAATTCTCCTGCCTCAGCCTCCTGAGTAGCTGGGATTACAGGCGTGCACTACCATCCCAGGCTAATCTTTGTATTTTTCGTAGAGACGGGGTTTCGCCATGTTGGTCAGGCTTGTCTCAAACTCCTGACCTCAAGTGATCCGCCCACCTCGGCCTCCCAAAGTGCTGGGATGACAGATGTGAGCCACTGTGTCTGGCCTTGATCTAATTTTATATTCATAATTTTTTTTTTTTTTTTTGAGACAGAGTTTCGCTTTGCCACCCAGGCTGGAGTGCAGTGGCTCGATCATGACTCATTGGAGCCTCGACCTCCTGGGCTCAGGTGATCCTCCCACCTTGGCCTACTGAGTAGCCGAGACCACAGGTGCACACTGCTATGCCCGGCTAATTTTTTGTGTATTTTTTTTTTTTTTTTGTAGAGGTGGGGTCTTTCCATGTTGCCCAGGCTGGCCTGGAACATCTGGGCTTAAGAGATCCTCCTGCCCTGGCCTCCCAAAGTGCTGAGATTAAAGGTGTTAGCCACAGAATCTGGCCTGAGCATAGTGTTCTGTAGGGTGACTATTCCATCTTCTTTCTGGATTGAAACAATCGTTTGGGTTGTTTCCAATTTCCGTCAGAATTGCCATAATTGAGAGTCAATAAACATTGTTGTGAATGCTTCCTTGAAGGGCTTCTTGGACACAGAGATGGAGAGTGAAATTGCTGGGTCCTAAGGCACACATTTAAAATTTTAATAGATGCCACCAAATTACCCCTTTAAAGCAACCCAACCCACCTACACACCCACCACCTGGATAAGAACATTTGTTTTATTTTATCTTATTTTTGAAATGAAGTTTTGCTTTGTTGCCCAGGCTGGAGTGCAGACGTATGATCTTGGCTCATTGCAACCTCTGCCTCTGGGGTTCAAGCAATTCTCCTGCCTCAGCCTCCTGAATAGGTGGGATTACGGGTGCCCACCCCACACCAGGCTAATTTTTGTATTTTTAGTACAGACGGGGTTTCACTATGTTGGCCAGTCTGGTCTTGAACCCCTGACCTCAAGTGATCCTCAAATCACCCTTTTAAAGCAACCCAACCCAGCTACACACCCACCAGCAGGGTAAGAACATTTATTCTTCACACCTTTGCCCAAACTGGATAGGTCAAACAATGTGCTAGGTCCAAGCTAGTTTTTTTTTAGATGGAGTCTCGCTCTGTTGCTCAGGTTGGAGTGCAGTGGTGTGATCTTAGCTCACTGCAACCTCCACTTTCTGGGTTCAAGCGATTCTTCTGCCTCAGCCTGTTAGTAGAGATGGGGTTTTGCCATGTTGCCCAGGCTGGTCTCGAACTCCTGACCTCCAGTGATCCACACCGCTCAGCCTCGCAAAGTGCTGGGAATACAGGCACAAGCCACCGTGCCGGGCCCAGACTAGTATTTTTGAGTGTTTCCTTTGGTCATCCGTGTTTCCTTTTCTGGGACCTAGCCCCAAGTCTTCAGATAATAAAATGACTTCAGACAGAATTCTGTGTTAATTACTCCCACGTTTTTGTGTGGCCTGTGGGGTCCTGCCGGGAGCAGGATGGAGCAGGGGCAAACGGAGGGACAGAAGGGGCTTGAAGGAGAGCGAGGTTGCACTGCCTCAGCAGGAGGAATTGAAAACTAAGGAGAGGCTGCAGGAGTCGATGCAGACTCCAGAGTCCACGCCCTCCGTCAAGGGTACCCTCCACCAGTGTCGTGGAGGAAGGGAAGCTTTCAGGGAGCTCCACGTGAGCCAGGTAGGCTGTGGGGCTGAGCCAATAGCAACTCTTTCTGCCAGACACTTTCTGGACTTGTCCTGTCTTTTTCCCGGTGTTCCGCTTCCCACAGCGCTGACGTCGGTCTGTCCGGATGCACGGAGAAGGGAGGAAAAGGGGTGAGGTGCGGCGGTGCAAAGGTGAGGCTGCGCTCAGCCCTGACGCTCAGCAAAACAGATAACCGACGCTTTCATTAAGTGCATGCCCTAGGGCCACGTCCCTGCCGCTGTCCTGATCCTGAAGGCTGCTCTGACCCAGCCCTCTGCCCGCTGGGCTCATGCAGCTGCTGGGGCTCCTCTGCCTCCTCTGGATGCTCAAGGCCTCCCCAGGGGCCACAGGTAAGGGAGGAGAGGTGGGAGAAAATGGAGAGAAGCTCCTGATATGATATTCCAGGAAACAGGAGGGAAAGGTGGCTGTGAGGCCTGGGGAGGCGGGATAGGGAGGCGGGATAAGAAGGCGCCGATTGGAGCTCTGGGTGCAGGGAGAACCGAGGCACGGCCTGATGCGGGGAGGGGGCAATGAGGAGAGGTTTCTCCCAGAGCTCCAGGTGCAGGGAAAACCGAGGTTGGGAAAGAGTGGGTCCCCGCTGCCAGTCTCCACCAAGCACTGAGCAGGTTGCAGGGGCTGCGCTCCAACGTGTATCTGCTGCCCGAGGGTGGAGGGTGGGACTTAGATCTTCCCAGAGCAGTGGCCTTCCTGCCTTGGCTCCTTCTGTCACCCGCCTCACGCCCCCAGATCCAGTGCCCTGTCCACACTGGCCTCTCCCTCCCTGACAGCCCTCTAACTTCTGCCCCTGGCCTCTGTCTTCGGGTTTCAACCTCTCTGCCTTTTGTCCCCCAGCGGCTCCTCCCCAGCTCTGCCGTCACTCTCTCACCCTGGCCAGGGCCCATGTGTCTGGGCACAGCTGTTGGTACCAGGGCCCGGGCAGGGAGCTCCTGAAGTCCGCTTCACTTTCAGGGGTGCGTCTGAGACTACCCAGCATGGGGTCCCAGGCTTCTCTCTTCTGCCCTGCAGGAACACCCCGCAATTCCTCCGTACCTCTCTTTTCTCTGTCTTTCAGTGTCTGCTTCTGATCCCCGATCCCAGGCCACCCAGCCAGAGGCCCATGAGTCCTCTTCTCGGTCACCTCCAGGGACACATCCTGGAGCCAAGGGCTGTAGCCTGGAGATTCTCATAATCCCTGACCCCACTTCCCTGGCACCCACGAGCTAGGCTGAGACTTGACACCCCAGCTCTCAGTCACAAGATGGGCTGTGCCCGAAGTGAGGGGTATCAGATCGGGTACTTCCCACTTCCCATCTGCTGTGGCTGCCTGTCTTCCTCGTCCCCGACACCTCTGACAGCTGGATCTCTGATCCTAACTGTCACCAACTGTGAAATGGGTTGAAATCCACATGCTGGGGTTCATGCTTGTAAACGAATGAATCCCATGGCCAAAAGGGAATAGTTACAGAAAAATATGTCTATTTTTGTGATGAACACTCACTGCTAAGCCTTAAGGTCTCCGGAACTCATCACGCCTGACTGCTGAGGTAGCTCCTTCTGGAAGTTTCCTTCTCCATCCTGTCTCTCCGGCTCTCTGCCTGGTCCTCACTCCATGCCCATTGAAGTCATTAGCGTGTGTGAGCTTAGCTTCTGTTTCTCCTTGGTGTTCTCTGGGCAGTTTTGTGTGTTTTTTTTTAATGGAGTCTTGCTCTGTCTCCCAGGCTGGAGTGCAGTGGCGCCATCTCAGCCCACTGCAGTCTCTGCCTCCCGGGTTCAAGCGATTCTCCTGACTCAGCTACAGGTACACGCCACCATGCCCGGCTAATTTTTGTATTTTGTTTTAGTAGAGAACGGATTTCACCATGTTGGTCAGAGTTGTCTCGAACTCCTGACCTCAAGTGGTCGCCTGCCTTGGCCTTTCAAAGTGCTGGGATTGCAGGCATGAGCCACTGTGCCTGGTCCTCTTTATGCAACTTTCTCTGTCTCATGGTTTTTGTGATGTGCCCCTTGCTAGCACTTGGCTATATTCTCTCTTTTTCTCTTTGAAAGGAGTAGTCAGCTCAGACAGCAGCAGGGTGCGGGGAGAAGCCGTGGTGGGAGCAGAAGGTTAATGGAGGGGATGGGAGGACTCCAGGCAGCTTCCAGGCAGCAGCAGGGGGAGGACAGGAAGGGGCAGAGGGAGGAGGGGCCTGGGTGTGACTAGAGGAGGGAAGGAGGGAGGGAGGCTCTGCCCAGCCTGGCTATCCCAGACAGGGAGACTGCCATGACAAGGCCAAGGCCGGGTGAGAATGAACGCCCCATGCCCCACTGCCCCCTAGAGCAGACAGGCAGTGGCTCCACCACAAAGCACTCCAGCCCAAGCTGCCTCTGATGCAGGAGTGAGCTGCGGCATGCCCTGCCCTCTGTGATGCTGCCTGAAATGGGGAGTGAGTGAGTAACTTACATGAGTGATGTGACAAAATGACTCCAATGGATTTACCAGTGGATTCCTCCCTGCTTTGCCGCCAATGCAGGAACTGTATCTACGGCCACATCCATCTCTCACATACGTTTCCCCAGGGCGGAAGGCAGCTCAAGGGCCAGCTCAAAGTACCTCCACACTCCAGAGACCTGCTGGGCGGCCACCGGTGTCCCCAGCCTGCCTCCTGCTCCTGGGCCAGGGAAAATGTACTTCATGATGCTCAAGTACCTCCCACATGACACACTCATCTCAAACACTGCTCACCTCTCCAGTCAGTTCCAACACCTCAACCACCCCGATGTCCAAGTTTGCTTTCAAGGTTGAAACCACTCCACCCACTGTGTTGGCTCTATTCGCCACCACTGAGGCGTATCCACCAGTTTACAATCACCATCTCCCCATCCTACCTCCATCTGTGTGACCACGACGCAGGTGGCCTTCTCTGCACAGCTCTTACACCCTCACTCCCGGTGACACAGAAGCCAGTGACCACCGTCACCAGGACTTATTATGACCACTACTGAGAAAGGAACATCAGCTGTGACATCCTCTCACCACCACCGTAAGGAAACTCCCATAGTGACAGTGACACCCTCTTCCTCTGTGTCAGCCACAGACACAACCTTCCACACTACGGTCTTCTACACCAGAATCACAGAAAGGACTCCCTGCCCACTGGAAGTATCCATACGACCTCATGTCCCCAGCACCAGTATTTACTACTCAAAACAGCGGTGACTTCCACTTCCCACGTCACTTCTTCAATCACTTCCACAGATACAGTGACTTCAGACAACGACCACCTCCCGCCCACAGCCACTAATAATACACTGTCATCACCCACCAGTACCATTTTATCTTCCACACCTGTCCTGAGCACAGAAATAACTACCAGTGGTATCACAACACTACTCCTCTATCTACCTTGGTGACTACACTCTAACTACCATCACCAGGTCTACACCTACATCTGAGCCTAATTTGGCCCTACTTCTCCCCACCAGCACTGCGGACAGACTCCACAACCAAATTACCTACTCCACAAGTATGACAGGTACATTGTCCATGAGACTTCTCCCACCCACATCTTCCTCCTAACCACAGAAACAGCCACAACTCCTATGACAAACCTGGTAATCACCACCCCTGAGATCGCCTCCCACAGTACTCCCACCTTCTCTCCTTCAGTCATCTACTTCCACAGTCAGCACATCCACAACTGCCATCTCTCAGCTTCCCTACCTCAGGTACCATAGTGATTTCCACAACCATGACTCCCGTCTTCTCTGCCTACAGACATCCCTTCGACAACACTCAACAATTATCACCCACCCTTCTGTGGGTTTCACTGGCTTCCTGACTATAGTGAATATTCACATCAACATTCACTGTTTCCAGTTCCCTGTGCTAAATGTCCACAAGTGTTATTCCATCTTCCCCAGTATCCAGAATACAGAAACCTCATCCCTTGTCAGCATGACTCTGCCACCACTTCCCAGTGGGACACCAACTTTTGCAGGTATATACAGCATCTTTCGACAAGTTCCTCTTGATAACCTTCTCCTGCTTGACATATTCATTTTCGTTTCTTCCATGTCTGCCAGCAGTGCTGACCACTCACACAGAGAGTATCTCTTCACTTCCAGCCAGCACCAGTACACTCCACACAACAGCTGAATCCACCTGTCACCTACTACCACCACTCTCACATTCACAACTTCTCCACAATCATGGAACTACTAACCACTGTAGCACCTACAGGAACAGGTCAGACCACCTTTCCCAGCCTTCTACAGCCACATTCCCTGAGACTACCCACACTGACTCCTACAATTGACATTTCCTACAGAATTCGAACAACAGCCATGACTTCTACTTCCCCATCAGTTCTTTCAATCACCCCACCAATACAGTGATTATGACAAATTCACGCACCTCTTGGCCCACAGCCACTAATACGTTAATATCACTCACCAGTAGCATTTTATCTTCTCCACCTGTCCTAAGCACAGAAATGGTCACCAGTCATGGCACACACCAACACCACCTCTATCCACCTTGTTGACTACACTTCACCACCACCCCCGATACTCACCTCCCACAGTGCCTCCCAGCTTCACTTCATCAGCCATTTACTCCACGGTCAGCACAGACCACAACTGCCATCTCCTCAGCTTCCCTACCTCAGGTACCATAGTGACTTCCCCACAACCATGACTCCTGTCTTCTCTGCCTACAGACATCCTTCGACAACACCAACAATTATCACTCACCCTTCTGTGGGCTCTAATACTTCCTGACTACAGAACAGACTCTACATCAACATTCACTGTTTCCAGTTCCCAGCATGTCCACAAGCAAGTATTCCATCTTCCCCCAGCATCCAGAATACAGAAACCTCATCCCTTGTCAGCATGACTCCTCTGCTACTACTCCCAGTGGACACCAATCTTGCAAGTACACAGCACTCCGACACAAGTTCCCTCCTGACAACCTTCCCAGCGACATATTCATTTTCGTCTTCCATGTCTGCCAGCAGTGCTGATCACCACACAGAGAGTATCTTCACCTCCAGCCAGCACCAGTACACTTCCACACAACAGCCAATCTACACTCCTGTCACCTACTACTACCACCTCATTCACAACTTCCATAGTAACTATGGAACCACCTTCAACCACTGTAGCAACTACAGTGTGTGTCAGACCACCTTTCCAGCTCTACAGCTACATTCTGAGACCACCACACTGACTCCTACAATTGACATTTCTACAGAATCTCTAATAAATAGCCATGACTTCCTAATTTCACTGAGTTCTTCACACCACCCCACCAATACAGTGACTTCTATGACAACTACGACCTCTTGGCCCACAGCCACTAATACGTTATCATCACTCACCAGTAGCATTTTATCTTCTCCACCTGTCCTACACAGAAATGATCACCAGTCAGTAACATCAACACCAATTCTCTATCCACCTTGCCGACTTACATTCCCCACCACCACCCCCGATACCACCTCCCCAGTACCACCAGCTTCACTTCATCAGCCATTTACTCCACGGTTGGGCACATCCACAACTGCCATCTCTCAGCTTCCCTTTACTCCCTTGTGTACTATAGTGATTTACAACTATGACCCCGTCTTCTGCCACAGACATCCTCTTTCGACAATACCACCATTACCCACCTCCTTCTGTGGGCTCACTTATTTCTGACTACAGGAACAGACTCACATCAACATTCACTGTTTCCAGTTCCCAGCAATGTCCACAAGTGCTATTCCATCTTCCCCAGCATCCAGAATACAGAAACCTCATCCCTGTCAGCATGACTCTGCCACCACTCCCAGTGGGACACCAACTTTTGTAAGTACACACAGTACTCCGATAAGTTCTCTGACAACCTTTCCCAGCGACATATTCATTTTCGCCTTCCATGTCTGCCAGCAGTGCTGGACCACTCACACAGAGAGACCCTTCACCTCCAGCCAGCACCAGTACACACTCCACACAACAGCTGAATCCACCTGTCACCCACTACCACCACCTCATTCACAACTTCCACAACCATGGAACTACCTTCAACCACTGTAGCAACTACAGTGACAGGTCAGACCACCTTTCCCAGCTCTACAGCTGCCATTCCCCTGAGACCACCACATCAATTCTACAATTGACATTTCCTACAGAATTCTAACAACAGCCATGACTTCTACTCCCCTCTAATCAGTTCTTCAATCACCTCACCAATACAGTGACTTTGCGACAACCATGACCTCTGCCCACAGCCACTAATAAGTTATCATCAATAACCAGTAGCATTTTATCTTCTCCACCTGTCCTAGCACAGAAATGATCACCAGTCATAACACCAACACACCTCTATCCACCTTGCTGGACTACATTCCCACCACCATCCTTCGGCTTACCACCTCCCACAGTACCACCACACAGCTTCACTTCATCAGGCACATTTACCCACGGTCAGCACATCCACAACTGCCATCTCCTCAGCTTCCCCTACTTCAGGTACCATAGTGACTTCCACAACCATGACCTGTCTTCTCTGGACTACAGACATCCTTCGACAACACTAACAACTATCACCCACTCCTTCTGTGGGGCTCTACTGGCTTCCTGACTACAGGAACAGACTCCTTACATCAATATCTACTGTTTCTAGTTCCCCAGCAATGTCCACAAGCAAGCCATTCCACCTTCCCCAGCATCTCCAGAATACAGAAACCTCATCCCTTGTCAGCATGACCTCTGCCACCACTCCCAGTGAGAGACCAATTTCACAAGTACTGACAGCACTCCAACAAGTTCCCTCCTGACGACCTTCCCAAGTACATATTCATTTTCCTCTTTCCATGTCCACAGCAGTGCTGGGACCACTCACAGAGGCTATTTCCTGCACTTCCAGCCAGCAATTAGTACACTCCACACAACAGCTGGACCCACCCTGTCACCCGCTGCCACCACCTCATTCACCATATTCACAACGATGGAACCACTTTCAACCACTGTAGCAACTAAGGCACAGGTCGACCACCTTCCCCAGCTCTACAGCCACATTCCCTGGGAGATCACTACACTGACTCCGTACAACTGATACATGTCCACAGAATCTCTCACAACAGCCATGATTTCTACTCCTCCCATCACTTTCAATGACCTCTACCAACACAGTGACTTCTATGGCAAGAACGACTTCCTGGCCCACAGCCGGTAATACTGCTATCATCACTCACCAGTAGCATTTTATATTCTTACACCTGTCCTGAGTGCACAGAAACAATCACCAGTCATAACACCAACACTCCACCCTCTCCACCTTGCGACCACACTCCCACGACCATCACCAGGTCGCAGAGCTACATTCCGAGACCACCTACACTACTTCTCCCACTAGCACAGCCACAGACTCCATGACCGACATCAGCTACCCCACAAGTATGACAGGTACATTGTTCCCCGAGATTTCTCTCTCACCCACCTCTTCCTCTCTCCTAACCGTAGAAACTGCCACAACTCCTACCAACCTTGTAACCACCACTCCTGAAACCACCTCCCACAGTGTTCCCAGCTTCACTTCTTCAACCATCTATTCCACAAGGAGTACAACCACAACTGCCATCTCCTCAGCTTTGCCTTACCTCTTAGGTGTACCATGGTGACACCATGGACTCTATCTTTCTTGAGTGTTGTACATCCTTCTGCATCTGCCACACCCATGCTCAGCTCTTCTTGTGAGTCCATTGACCTTACTACAATAAGAATCTCTTCTGCAAGATTTGCTGTTCACCGACTCTAAGAAATCTTGAGCGGTAGAGACTGATTCTCTCTGGACACTCTCAGGCTGCTATGAAACCTTCATCCCTTGTCAGCATGACTCTGCCACTACTCCTAGCGTAGAGACCAACTCTCACAAGTACTGAGGGCACTAGACAATCTCCTTCTGACGAGCTTCCCAGCAACATATTTTATTTTCCTCTTCCATGTCTGCCAGCAGTGCAGGGACCACTCACACCGAGAGTATCTCCTCACCTCCATCCATCACCAGTACACACCACACAACAGCTGGATCCACTTGTCACCCACAATCACCACCTCATTCACAACATTTACAATTTATTTGGAAACACCTTCATCCACTGTAGCACCATACGACAGGTCAGACGCTACATTCACTAGTTCAACAGCCACATCCTGAGACTCACCACACTGACCTACCTTGACATTTCCATTGCGGATCTTTCAAAACAGCAGTGAGTTCTACTCCCCTATCACTTCTTCAATCACCTTACATATACAGTGACATCTATGACAACTACCAACCCCTTCTGCCCACAGCCACTAATACATTACCATCATTCACAGGGCAGCTGCTTCATCTTCTATGCCTGTCCCAAGTACAGTAGTTATCACTCAGTGGTACCACAACACCACTCCCTTTGTCTTCCTTGGTGATCACATTATCCAATTACGACACCAGTTCTATACCTGCATCTGAGACCACCTACCCTACTTTCTCTTTACTAGTGCTTCTACAGATTCCATGGTCAGAAATCCACCCTTTTTCCACCAGTATGACTGTACATTGTCCACTGTGACCTCTCTCCCGACCCACCTCTTTGTCTCTTCCAACCACAGCAACAGCCACAGTTCCTACAACAAACTTGGTAACTACGACTACCAAGACCACCTCACAGTACCCTAGCTTCACTTTCTTTTTCTAATCACAACCACCGAGACCTCACTCTACACTGTACTCCCAGCTTCACTTCCAATCACGTACCACTGAGACCCTCTCACACAGTACTCCTAGCTTCACTTCTTCAATCACTGTCTTGGAGACCACATCATACAGTACTCCCAACTTCACTTCTTCAATCACCACCACCAGTGAGAGCCCTCCTCACACAGTATTCCCAGCTTCACTTCTTCAATCACCACCACAGAGACCCCTTCACACAGTACTCCCAGCTTCACTTCTTCAATAAATCACCACTGAGACTACCTTACACAGTACACCCAGCTACACCCCCTTTGATCACCACCACCGAGACCACCTCACACAATACTCCCAGCTCACTTCTCTTGACCACCACCACCGAGACCACTCCTACAGTACTCCCAGCTTCACTTCTTCAATCACCACCACCGAGACCACCTCACAGTCCCCAGCTTCACTCTTTGATCACCACCACCGAGATCACCTCACACAGTACTCACAGCTTCACTTCTTCGATTGCCACCACCGAGACCACATCCCACAGTACTCCTAGCTTTACGTCTTTGATCACCACCCAGGAGAGCCCTCACAGGGTACTTCCAGCTTCACTTCGGTAACCACCTTGAGACTCCCTCACACAGTACTCCAAGCTTCACTTCCTTCGATCATGATCACCGAGACCACCTCTACAGTACTCCCAGCAGCACTACCTCAATCACTACCACCGAGACCCTCTCTACATAGTACTCCCAGCTCACCACCTCATCTACCACCACTGAGACTCCACCCCACACAGTGCATCCTCTAGCTTCACTTCTTCGATCACCACCACTGAGACTACACTTCACACAGTACTCCCAGCTTCACTACTCGATCACCACCACCGAGACCAACTCAAACAGTACTCCCAGCTTCACTTCTTTGATCACCACCACTGAGACCACATCCCAGTACTCCGAGCCCACTTCTTCAATCACCACCACCGAGGATCACATCCCACAGATTCCCAGCTTCAATGCCTTGATCATCACTTACTGAGACCACCTGCCACAGTACAGCAAACTACACTTCTTCAATCACCACCACTGAGACACTCCTACACAGTAATTTCAGCTCACTTCTTCAATCGCTCACTACTGAGATTACATCACAGTACCCTGGCCTCATTTCTGTGGTCACCACCACCGAGTAACCTCCCACGCGCACTCCTGGCCTCACTTCAATCACCACCAGTGAGACTACCTTACACAGTACTCCAACCTTCACTTCTTCAATCACCACTACCGAGAAACTCTAAGTACTCTCAGTCACTTTAATCACCACCACTGAGACGACTCCTGCCACAGTACTCCCAGCTTCCAGTTCTCAATCACACCACCAAGACCACCTCACCTGATACTCCCAGCCTACTTTCAATCACCACCACCAAAAGACCACCTCACCCGATACTCCCAGCTTCACTTCTTCCATCACCAACACTGAGACCACCTCACACAGTACTCCCAGCTTCACTTCTTCAACCAGCTACTCCACAGTCAGCACATCCACAACTGCTATCACTTCATATTTTCATTTACCAGAGACTGGGGGTGATTGCACTGTAACTCCAGCTTCTCAGAGTAGTTGTGATATCCCGACCAAGAACTGCAGTATTTAACTCATCACTCCCCTGATCTGTGGGAAATCCAGCACTTCATTGACTACAACCACAGACCTTCCTCTATACTACTGATATCAGTAGCTTACCAACCTCAACACACATCATTTCATCTTCTCCTCCATCCAAAGCACAGAAACATCATCCTCAGGGAGGCACAACCTCTCCCACCATGTCCACTGTGAGAACGACCCTCAGAAGTACTGAGAAATGAATTTAATCACTTCCTTGAGCACAAGTGGTCATTGTTGTTACACCTTGAAACCCCAACACAGACCCTCCTGTACTGACGTCTGCCACTGGACCCAAACATCTCCTGTACCTACCACTGTCACCTTTGGAAGTACAGGTTTATCCACATCCACTCTTCACACTCTTACGCCATCAACAGCCTTGAGCACAATCATGTCAACATCGCAGGTTCCCATTCCTAGCACACATTCTCCACCTTCAAACAAGTTCTTCTACTCCACATTGCAAACTTCACTCACATCTACAAGTGAGTTCAATACAGAATCTTTCACTAGGGTACATCTACAAACGCAATTTTGACTTCTTTTAGTACCATCATCTGTCCCTACCACACCCACTATCATGTCCTCTTCTTCATTTCCACCAGCATAACTCCATTGTTCTCTACCACCACTCATTCTGTTCCTTCTTCAGCATACACCTTCAGTACAGAAAACGTGGGCCTCTTCTATCACAGCCTTCCTACACTCTCTTCCTCTGTAACCACTCAGCACTTCTCCAACCAGCTCCTCTCTGACCACAGCTCTCACTGAAATAACCCCCTTTTCTTATATTTCTTCCTCCACCACACCCCTGTCCAGAAACTACATAACAATTACCATAGTCCCTGCCTTCCCACTGATCCATGTGTTGAAATGGATTCCAGCACTGAAGTCACTTCTCCTCCCACCACCCCACAGCAGTGCTTCCCCTTTACTACCGAGATGGTCACCTGTCCTAGCTCCATCAGCATGCAACTACCCTTGCTACATATATGGACACTTCTTCCATGATTTCCAGAAAGTGAGTCCAGCATCACAACGAATGCTTCCAGTTCCACTGGCACTGGGACTGTACCCACAAAACATTTGCCAGCGGTACTGAAATGCCCACTGCGAGACCTGGTTGAGCACCATCCTGTGATCCCACATCTCCTGCATCTCTACCATTCCGCCTTTCACCACAAAACCAAGCAGTAGCCTTTCGACCATCCCAGAGGACTCAAGCAAAGTCA